TTGTCTCCGCAGGGTCCTTCGCCAGCACGCTGCCCACCTACCAGCAGTCTGAGGTGATGGTCTTCATCATGAACAAGGTGCCGCTACCCTCCTTGCAGCAGTCCATCGAGGCTGGCAAAGCCGGGTGAGAACGGATGCCTTCTTCCCTCCTCTTGCTGCCCCCCTACCCCGTTCTCCCTGCCGCTGTGCCGTGTGGGTGGGTGTAACGCTTTGGACACGGAGCTGCAAGTGCTGGGAAGCTCCTGAAACCGTTCCCACCTTGAGGTGACCTTTGGGGACAGAGTGGGACGTGGGCACATTATTGGAAAGGCTGAGCATCGAGAGCTTCCACCGAAGAGCAAGGGAAGCTGAGCAACGTGCGATCCTTGTTTAAAATGCTTTGCTGTCTGCTGCAAATGTGATGACAAGGGCTCCTTGAAACACCGGCGCATCGAGGAGGAAAGGTGTTTACAGGCAGTGGTGCTGCAGTTGAACTCCGCATTCCTTCGGGGACCTGCTGAGAGATTCAGCTGTCAGGAGCTCGGTCCTGGGGTGTCATCCAAAACTAGCCAGGAACTAAAATTAATACTCAGGGGAGTGACTTGGGATGTCTCAGGGCAGCGAGGTGGCCGCTGGTGAGCGAGGGCTGCCCATGGCTTTTGAGAAGCTCGTGTATGGCTTCGTGGGACTGGCTGCTCATCGCTGCCTCCCCCCCCCGCTGGCGCGTGGCCCCTCTGAGCTGCCTCTGAGCTTTTATTAACACTGAGCGGGAGGTGGTATTTATACCCGGCGGTGGAGGAAGAGAAGGAAGGGAAAACACCCAAACAACATAATTGCTTAAGAAGTGTGGGAACAGACCATGAGAGCTATTTGGAGCGAGGGTATCAGCGCTGAAACATGTAGGTAAGGAGCAAACAGATTTTCATGCTATATTTATCTTCGAAGTACGGTCAGGCTCTTCCCACTCGTCTCTGATGGGAGAGAGACTTTGCTGGCTGATAGGAGACACGCTCTGCTCCTCGCTCGCATGGGGGTAATTCCTGGCGCCTGCGTTCAATCCCGATTCACGCGGTGGGAGGCACGCTGGGTGCTGGGTGCCGTTCGGCCAGGGCAGCTTTCCTTGCTGCAGGAGCAGAATCGGGCTCGTCGCCCCAGGATGGCAGTCACTTCTCAGCGCTAGGCTGGCTGTGCCAGGCTGTTTGTCACTGCTCCTTTATCAGCTCGTGAGCTTCCTCCGGGAGAGTTTTTAAATCCCATCTGACGCTGCGTGAAGGATGGTGCTTGCTCTGGGTGCGTAGGTGAACCGGGAGTTTGCAGAGGAGCTGCAGCCTGCGGTTTGGCTTATGGGGTTGTTGCCATTTGCGGTGTAGCTCAGTCCCTGGGCAGAGGTAGGCAGCACAGGCAGCGTGTCACGGGTGATGGGACAGCCTGGAAATCCCTGTGTCCCCTTCCAGTACAGGGCTAGGAAAGACTGAGTTCAGACAGTAGAGAATTCAAGATTTCCTTTTTTTTTTTTGCATAAAACCCCCCTCACATCGCTGAAGTGGGAGCGTGGTTCATGGTGGCTTCGCAGGAAGTGAGATGGGAGTGAGGAGCAAGGATACCGTCGCGGACAGGAGGGCTTGGGCTTCTTCTCGCCAATTTTCAGCTGCTTAAAAGCGAGGAGCCTGTTCAGAGCTGGTGCCTGGCGTCCCTTGAGAGTCGCTGTGGGATGGGCACGTCCAGAGGGTGGCTCATTGTCCTGAGCGCAGCTTGCGCCTGCCTGGAGGTGTGAGTGCTGCCTTGTTTCTGGTGCCTTTGGTGGGATGTATGCTTTGATAGTCACCATTCCTTTAGCAGCCTTGCTGCCGGCTGTTAAATCTGGAGCTCATTTGCTGGAGACCTTTACAGCATGGCTGTATGTGGTGGTGACTCTCAGGAAACCGGTCCTGCCCTTTCTGAGGCTTCTCCATCCTTTGGGTGTGGAAGGAGGCTTGTTTTGTTTTCACTCAGATTTTAGCACTTGTTTCTTCTCTCCACGGCAGCGAGAACCGGAATCGGCTGACACAGATAATGCTCCTGAAGTCCCTCCTCCAGGTATGAATGTGTCGCCATCCCCGCAGGAGCATCCAACCTCCACGAGACCTGTGAGGTCCCCAGCTGCTGGCATGGGGGAACGGAGCTTGGAGACCCTCTCCCCTGGGGTGGTTTAGCAAGAGCTCAAATTGTACTTAGTCTTCTCTGCCTGCATCCCCTCTTTCTCGGTGTGTTTTAACCCCTCTCAAGTGACACTGTCACGTTGCCTCCCTTTTTCTTTGACGCTTGCAGGTTTCTGTGGGCTTCCAGTGCAGTAACATGCTCACGGCACTACCCAGCGTCTTCCTGGACAGGCTGCTCTCCGCAGCCCTCATGGAGGATGCCGAGATCCGCCTCTTTGTCCTCGAGATCCTCATCAGCTTCATCGATCGCCATGGGAACCGGCAGAAATTCTCCACCATCAAGTATGTCCTGGGGGTTCCCCAACAGGGCTGGGACCTGCAGACCCTATAGAGCCGGCTTGGGGGGGGGAGATTTGCCAGGCTGGGAGTGCCTGCAGCATTGGGAGCTGCTGGACGGATTAAATAATAAATCTGGTACCAGTTCTGGGGTGGTTTAATGCTTGCAGATGGGTGGTCTGCTAAGAGCCAGATGGGTGGGGGAGTCTCTCTGAGAGGCTGTGCCCAGAGGGACGTGGGACCGTGGTGCTGAAAGTAACCGTGGTTAGACAGTGGTCCCAGGAGGATGCGCAGGAGCCATAACCTCCTCCAGTGGGTTCATCGACTGCATTGCATCCCCATGGATAGGCCTGCCGGGCACTCGCGTTGTCCATGCTGTGTTACCTTGGAAGAAGGTGACTGTAATCCTAGAGGGAAACATCTCCATGGGTTTTGCTGTGGTCCTGCTAATCCACTTTGCTTGCACGCTTCTTGGTCAACTTGCCTTTGTGTTCCTGAGCGCCACTGCCTTGAAATCCTGTAGTGATTTGGCTCAGTACTCTTGAATATCTGAATCGCTCAGATTTAAAAGCCACCTTTAGCCTCCCGCCTCGGTTCCTCCCAGACGGCTCGTTCCTGGCCAGCAGCTCTGCAGGCGTGCGGGAATCGCGCCTCCTCCCTCCGGTGTCTGAGTTTTCCCTTCTCCTTGGCCTTTCCTTGCAGCACCATCAGTGACATCTCGGTCCTGAAGCTGAAAGTGGACAAATGCTCGCGCCAGGATACTGTCTTCATGAAGAAGGTAATGGCGGGGTCTGGGTCAAGCTGTCCTCGTGCAGACCGGTGTAAGGACTGTGTGTCTGCTTCCCCAAGTCACACTGAGCCACGGGGGTGTCCTGTGATGCCTCTAAACCTGGGGATGTCCCTGGGGAAAGCCATTGGGGTTCAATCTCCATCAGCGCTTCATGCGTGGGCCTCTCTAGGCTCCTAAATCGGCTATTTGCCCGAAGGAGTGAGTACCCCAGGATGTGCTGGTATCCCAAAAGCTATTTATCAAGTGGCTTTTGAAGTTGCCTGATTATTTATTTATTTATTTTTATTTCCCCTCGTTCCCCCCCCTCCCTTAAAACATTTTCGGGGGTGGTGCAAACCCCTCTGAGCTAACTGGAGGCCAAGAGAGGATCAGTTTATTACCTTGCGCACACCAAGGAGCAGCAATGCAGCCCCTCAACTGACAACCACGGCAGAGTTGTGTTTCCCTTGCGCCAGCGTGTGCCCTGCTCTGTCCCACGCCTCGCTGTCAAGCAGTGTGTCCTGGGGCCTTATTTCTCTGTTGTGGTCTGAGCCGTGATTTCTATAATGCTTCTGCAACAGAGGCCGTCCTTTCCCTGGGCTCGGTGCTGCGAGTGTTGTTTGCCTGCCCCGGGGCTCTGCTCTTGGACCTGCCGGTGCCTCTTCCCCGTCAGGGTCCAGCATCGAATGGTGAAACGCCACCTGATCGTCACAGCTCCCTCTCCCTGGGGCTTTCTTCATTTGCTTGGTGACCGGAGGAGCTCTGCTCCCTCCTGCATGGATGGAGGCCCCTTTGCCGGGCCCTGCTGCTTTTCTTTCTCTGCGTTGACGGCAGCGTTGCTCGCAGGGGATGCTCAGGAGGTGACCACGTCCTTCCGTGTCCCCACAGCATGGCCAGCAGCTCTACCGGCACATCTACCTGATATGTAAGGAGGAGAGCAACGTGCAGGCTCACTATGAGGCTCTCTACAGCATGCTGATGCTCATCAGCATCGAGCTGGCTAATGAGGAGGTCGTGGTGGACCTCATCCGCCTGGTGCTGCCAGTGCAGGTAGGTGGGGGGGGGAGCTGGGTGTGCGGGCTGAGATGTGATGGGAAGGAGCCTCTGGGAGGGGGGGTTGTTTTGGAGTTCGGGTCTCTGAGGAAGGGGGATGCACGTGCCTCACCTGCTCTGAGCTTCTCCCACCGGAGTGGGATCAGACCAAAACGCTGGGGAGAGACCCCTGTCGCCTGGTCAGCCTCTGAAATGCTGCAAACCCAAGCTCCAAAAGCTGGGATGTTTGGAGGGCAGGTCATGCCACGAGGTGGATGGAGACCACGCTGGGGCCTTGTCCACCCTCGTCTCATGGGGCTGTGTCTCTGTTGCAGGAGATAGCCCAGATCAACGAGGATAACTTGACGGCGTACAACCGCTGCGCGCTCTTCGCCCTCGGTGCAGCTTACCTGAACCTCATCAGCCAGCTCACCACCGTGCCCACCTTCTGCCAGCACATCCACGAGGTGCGAGGGAGGGTCTGGGGCCAGGGCTGGAGCCTTGTCTGCGGAAGCTCTGGCATCGGCTCTCCTGGCCACCCGTGGGGTTTGAGCTTGGCTCCTTGCTTGTCTTCTGCAGGTCATCCAGATGCGACAGAAGGAAGCTCCCTATCTGCTCCCTGAGGATGTGTTTGTGGAGAGACCCAGGTAAGAGCCTGGAAAATACCTTCTTCCCCACTCCCTGCTCCTGAGGGATTGGCATCCATAAGATCGTGAGCGATGATGGGTTTATCAGCCCTTCGCTTGCCTGTGCTTGTCTCCTTTCCCGTCTGGGGATGGCACAGTGGGAAGGGTATCAAGTGGTTTTCAGCCTGTTTAGAATCCGAGGAGGGTCCCATGCAGCCAGGGAAGGGGGTGGCCACCACGGCTTGCGCTCACAGCCAGCCAAATGCCGGGATCGGCTCTGCAGGCCGATCCCTCCCCTTGTCTGACAGCAGGATGGCTGTAGATCTGGTACGTCATCCCGCTGCTCTGCCGTGCCACCGGCTCGAGGATGCCTGCTGCGTGCTGAGCATCCCCAGGCCAAGGCTGGCTGGGCTGTCCCGTTCCTGTTGGCACACTTGACATGGGTCACATGTGGTGGTGAGGTCCCTTAACGCTGCCCCCAGTGAGTGCCACTGCTCTCTTGAGACTTTCCCTAGGTCAGGGCGGTCCTTCCTGAGCTCATCCGTGTCCTTTGTGATGGGTCAAGAGCTCCTTTGGGACTCTGGCTTTGTGCCGGTGTGCGCAGAAATAGCGTGATGTATCCGGCTGTGCTGGAGCTAAGCAAAGCCATGAGAACATTCTGTTTCTGACCCACAGGGACGGGAAACCCTGCTGACACGGTTCCCCTGGCAGGAGGGACGCTGACATCTCCGTTGTTTTTTCTCCATCCCCGTAGGTTGAGCAAGAGCCTTGACCGCCTGGGCCCAGAGGTCTTCTTCTGGCAGAGCAAGATCAGCGAGGTGCTGGGCGGCAGCGGCTACAACTCGGACCGGCTCAGCACACCCTACATCCCCCAGCTGACGGGTACACAGCACCCTGGGGCATCCCGGAGAACTGGGAGGGGAGGGAACTGGTCCCTCACTCTGCACAGTTATGGGGGTGTGAAGTTCTTGTGCTATGCGTGGGTGTGTTCTTTTCCTGCCCTCCTTTAGAGGTGTAGCCTTGGGGAAACTGAGGCAGAAAGCAGCGACTCGGAAGCTTCACGGGGTTGCCACGTGTATGGCTGGCTGGATGGAAGGAGCAATGAAGCCCGCTGGGCTTGGCTCAGTCCTCAGTCCTGCTGGGTTGGATGAATTTGAGTGAATGGCTGAGCAGAGGGACTGCTAACCTGGGGATGGGATGCGAGGCCACGTTCCCTGGGAGCTGCCTGTGCTCACCCCGCTGCCCCCGGGGTGGCTGCGATTAGCTCTTCTGCCCTTTCTCTTCCTCCCCAGATGAGGATCGCTTGTCCAAGAGGAAGAGCATTGGCGAGACCATTTCCCTGCAGGTTGAGGTGGAGTCGAGAAACAGTCCTGAGCGAGAGCAGGTACTGTCTTAGAATCATAGAATCATTAAGGTTGGAAGAGACCGCCAAGATCATCGAGTCCAACCGTCAACCCAACCCCCCCATGCCCACTAAACCATGTCCCTAAGCGCCTCATCTCCCCGTCTTTTAAATCCCTCCAGGGATGGTGACTCCACCACTTCCCTGGGCAGCCTGGTCCAATGTTTAACCACTCTTTCAGTAAAGACATTTTTCCCCGTGTCCAATCTAAACCTCCCCTGGCGCAACTTGAGGCCGTTTCCTCTCGTCCTTTCACCAGTTACTTGGGAGAAGAGACCGACCCCCACCTCGCTACAACCTCCTTTCAGGGAGTTGTGGAGAGCGATGAGGTCTCCCCTCAGCCTCCTTTTCTCCAGGCTAAACAACCCCAGCTCCCTCAGCCGCTCCTCAGCAGACTTGTTCTCCAGACCCCTCACCAGCCTCGTTGCCCTTCTCTGGACACGCTCCAGCACCTCAACGTCCTTCTTGTAGTGAGGGGCCCAAAACTGAACACAGTATTCGAGGTGCGGCCTCACCAGGGCCGAGTACAGGGGCACGATCACTTCTTACACCAGAGCTGCAGCGGCTGTGTCATCCCTTCCGCACCGCGTGCTTTTAGCAGCCTGACAGCTAAGCCCTCTGTAATTGTTCATTTGGCTGCACGCATAATTGCTCCGCTGGCTGCAAGCGCAGGGGCCCATAACAGCCCCGGTGTGTCTGGCAGTGAGCGGGGTCAGAAAGACCCCGACTCCCCCTGATGCTCCCCTCCAGGTGCCGGCAGGTCCCAGCCTGCAAGGGGAGCCACGCGGCAGGAGGGGTCTCCCAGTGCCGTTTGGGTGGCAAATCTTTATTTTCCCTGTATGGATATTTCTTAGCAATGGGAACCTTGGGTGAGGTATAAGGCCTGGCTAGTCCGGCCTGAAAAAAGCATTTTAAAAGTGGAGGTTGCCAGGAAAGATATCCCTGATCTTTAAGGACAGACTATGTTTTGGTGCAAGAATACAGTCTGGGACACCGGCTCTGGGTTGCTGTGATCCCAGAACGGTGTCCTGTGCTGTGCGTTGAGCCTCCTCTGCTTTTCCCTTCCCTTTAGAGAGCACCAGCGGAAGAGATCACGTACGAGACGCTGAAGAAGGCGATAGGTAAGCGAGGGAGCCGGCCATGGTAGGGAGAGGCGGAGGCTGGCGTGGCGTGTATGTATGGGTACTGTCGCCCCTGTGCCTGCGTGTGCACACCACGGATGGATGGATCCCCAGCGCCACGCCGTAGCGGCATTGCACTCAAGTCACAGGGCGGCCGGGCAGCTTCATAGCTCTGCCTGGCCCCGGGGGTGTCCCTGGGGGGGCTGGTCCCAAAGCCAGAGGCTGGAGACCTTCTCCTTGGCGTTCTAGTGATGCCCAAATCCATGCTGTCTCCTGGGGAGGTGGGGGATGCAGCACGGGGGTGGTCTCTGCGGGGGGGGAGCAGCTGAGAGCCATCTCCCCTCTGCTTCAGTAGACAGCGTCGCCGTGGAGGAGCAGGAACGAGAGCGGAGGCGGCAAGTGGTGGAGAAATTTCAGAAAGCCCCGTTCGAGGAGATCGCTGCCCACTGCGGTGCCCGGGTGAGTCGGGGCTGTGGCGCTCTAAAGCCCCGCGGCCGCTCTGCCGGGGGGAGGCGGACGGTGACGACGTGGCTCTGCATTTTGCCAGGCCGGCCCTCCCTCGGCTCTGGTGACCCACCCAAGAGGGTGTTTGTCCCATTTGTACCGTTGTGGTCCTCAGGGTGCAGCCGCGCTAATACAGCCGCTGTGTCTGTGTTACAGGCGACGCTGCTGCAGAGCAAGCTCAACCAGATCTTCGAGATCACCATACGGTGAGTCGGGGCGACAGCCAAGCACAGTTTGTCAAGCCACCCGAAAACCCGCTGCCGGAGCGTGGGGTGCCTGACCGCAAGGCCAGCGCTGGCTTTGGGGCGATGGGAGCCACATGCGT